AGGGCTAAAAAGTTGAAAATAAAATCGCTAAAAGTGCAACACTTAACGACTTTTTTCAGAAAAGATTTCATGTCTTCCATGTCTAAAATAGAACCATTTTAACGACCAATGGCTTTCCAGAGGACAGCCCCTCTACAGGCAACGGAGTTTTTAACGTAATTTGACGCAAAACTTGGATGATGATAACTGTCAAATGGCAAAATTGAAACTGACACGTGAATTTTGAAGTCAAAGATTTACTGACAACTGATAATAGGCCTGTTTGATCATAATATTCTACAAACCTGTTTTAAGCGACCTTTTCCAACTCATATCAGGCAACATTGTTTGTTTCAATACCAAATCGCCAGGCAGACGATCATTAAAACTAATTATTATTCATTCAAAATTTTTTCCCGATTCTGATTGGGTAAGAGCACTCGTTTAATTCACCATAACCAGTTACTGATGACCAAATTTGGAAGAATTTTGTGTTTAACGAGGAAATGACGTCAAAAATGCAGCGTTAGTTCAGGTTAAGGCACCGTTAACCGAGAAGACCTGGGGACGAGGTTGAGTTGTTTTGGTTGTGAAAACAAAAAATGGCGCACATTTCACTCGTTTCAAGAGTAAGAACTAGGCGAAAACATAGCTAAAAACATGGTAAGAACAGCAAGAAGACAACTCGATGGGCGACATCTGCTATATGGAGAATATTTGCGGAGTTGGACAAACGTAAACGTGCACTATCGAAGATGAACTTAACATCGATAGATCGATGGAGGTTAGCATGTTTTAGTCATGTTTTTAAAGTAGGAATTATTTTGAATGAATAATAACACAATTATTGAATTCGGCTTTCGTATCATATGAAGAATTATGGAGATCTCGGAGGGTGTTATCCGCCTCGGCCAACGGCCTCGACGAATAACACCCTCCTCGATCTCCATAATTCTTCATAAGATACTCAGCTTCATTCATTAATTGTTAAATAATATCAACAAATTATTATTATACCGTAAAGTTCCGGAAGTAACGATAAAATGTCACAAGCAAATCCCGAAAGTAGCGATCCCCCCGAAAATAACGACCCTCCGAACGTAGAGACCTCAAAACTAATTTACCCTTTTGCCGAAAAAATAATGGATATGATAGATACAGTCAAACCTCTTTAATACGGACACCAAAGGGACAGAACCAAGTGTCCGCTTTACAGAGGTGTCCGTATTATAGAGGTAGGAAATGTATGATTTTTGGCTTTCTGGGACCAAATGAACTGTCCGTAATAGCGGAGAGGTGTTGGTATTATAGAGGTGTCCGTACGGAGAGGTTAATTAATATTTGACATTCCTATTCATAACTCTTAAAGTACAGGATATACATAACTTTTTTTCAAAACGTTTTCCTTTCACATTTTTGCGATTTCATTTTTTGAAGTACTTACATGTGTGGAGTACAGTCTAACCTCTCCTTACGGACACCTCTATAATACGGATACCTCTCTATTACGGACAGTTCATTTGGTCTCAGAAAGCCAAAAATTCTATAATGTACGGACACCTCTGTAAAGCGGACACTTGGTTCTGTCCCTTTGGTGTCCGTATTAAGAAACAGTCCAGATAAGAACGATAGCAACGACGGCAACGAACATGTTGGAATGCAAAAAAGGTGCTAACTTTTCTATTGTCTGTACTTAATTCTGATTGGCTTAAACAGCAAAAGTTAAGAAAACTTCATAAAGCAGTCATATTCATCTTTACTTTCCAAACCATCCTCCATATAACGGAATCTGGTCTCAGTCTGAATAACAAAGAAATCCTATGTGGGGAACATGTAAAATTATAAACTTTTCTTGGCTGTTGTTTTCAACTCTTGTGATTGGTCAAAATCTTTTAACACGAAAAAACACCCTTTCAAACTGGAGTGTAAATGTATTTTTTTGCGTAAACGGCCCTCATGTAGGTTTATGCATTCTCTGTGTAAAAATGAGAACATTCCTATGTGGGGAAAGCACTGTTGCCGCATAACAAAAGAAATTGCTATCCACCTTACCCGGATCATTACTTAAAGAGGTTTGACTGTACGCGTTTTAGCCATCCGAAAGTAACGACCCCTTGAAAGCCGTAGCGAGACTTCGAAAGTAGCGATAATAGAAGGGTGCTAAATCCGAAAGTAACGAGAACGTTACGGTAAATTGCGTAATAGAATACGATCTTATTTCCTAATTGACTATCTTTGGCTGGATTTAGGCCCAGAAGAATAAATTAAGTTGCATAGCCAATAAAGCCAGTTAACTAAAACTTACAAATTACCCAAAATTTAACTAGTGACAATTTATAGATGGCCAAAATTGTAACCGACAAGTGACATTTGTACCCTCTACCGAACCTTCAGTCAGCTCTTGTTTGTATGCGATGTAAGAGATTAACCGTTTGAACGAAAGCTGGTTAATACCTGGCTTCCTCAGTGATAGATCAAGTATTCCATGATGCTCTGCGCCTAAAAGTCAGTAGTCGAAAGAAGTGGTTACAACGGGATTTTCAAACGCAAAATTCACACAGTTCAAAGTACTTCAAGGTTAGTTATCTAGCTTTCTGTTGATCTATGTTCTACTATCCTTTTACAAACTGTGTCCCTGGCTCTGACAATGGCCTTTTGTTCTCCTTTTAGATCAATATTTTGGACCTCACTCCAATTGAAAATGGCGCGATGCCGTGCTGAATGACCCTGAAGAATAATGGTAAGAGAGCATTGTTCTGGTAACCTTTTAACAAATAGATAATGAAAACTATAGCAAATTGAGATAACAATGGAGGTGTTTCGATTTTAGAACCTCAAAGTACCTCGCGATTTCAATGTTTTCTATCACCGCAAAGTTTGATCATTTCATCGCTGTTCGCACCATCAATTTGTAAACATGTACTCTCGAGGTGTTGTGCTTCATTTGTCGGAAAACACGCCTTTCACGCGTTCGTTTTCGATGAGTTCGTAGTAACTATTTGTTTAGATATTATTAACGTTGCTCTGTTATTTTTCTAGAGTATCCTTGCAATTAATGACCGAGAGAAACGTCTGATGGTGGTAAATTATTCACCAAACAAGCTATTGAGCACGAGGAAAAGGAAGATCGCCTAAAAGCCTGAAGCAAATTTTTCCGCTCAAGAAAACAAGGACTTTGGCCGTTTCTTCGTCCATGGGAGAAGAGCGAAAAGGCTGTGCTGTTGCAGTCTAGTTTGAAGCCCGATCTGTTCAGTTATCTGGACTGGGTAATAGCAAGAGCTAATAGACAGAATTATCGGTCAGCATGAATACTAGAATGGGAAAGGAGCTGATTTCATCTACCAAACTATGGGGACTAGAAAACCAGTAGATATTTATAGAATTATATCAATGCTTCTGGTTTCTGTAATAGTTAGTCTTTTTATGTGGTAGGGTCGTTAGCCTTACGCCCAACCCCCAAATTGGAGGACCAGGAGGTCTCTCTTTGTCTGGTATCAGCAGCCTATGGCACTCGTTATTACCGATTCTATTTTTGTAATGGCTGTAAGCATGTATCATCTCGAAAAGCGGTGAGAACACGCTTTTAGTCGGCACTCATTTATCATTGTCATAAATGCCTTAGTTTTTAATAAACTATTTTGTTGCTCCACCGTTTTGAGCAACACTACCCAATCCTATCTGGACAAACCGCCAAGCAGTATAGAATTTAGCCTGTCGAATTGTGAGCGCGCTGGAAAATTCGATAGTTACTTCCTCGTTAAAAGGCTTGCACTGGCTCCCAGTCAAGCAACAACTATATTTTTTACTTGCCATGATATTTATTTTATTTTCAATTTTTGTTTGAATTAACTATAAGTATATTAACGCGAGCTTCGCTTTTAGCCATGGCTAAATGTATACATTATTTTATAGTTTTTTTCGTTTTGACTATCAGTGTTTCTTTACAATAAACTTCTCTCTGTACCAAAGTACAAATTGCTTGTGTTTTCTGTCTTTAGAGGGCCTGTTGTGGAATTTCACCCTCATGCCGATCTCATTTTCGCCTTTTTCCCCCACTGTGGAGCCTAGTCCCAGGCTAGGTTTTATCTTTAAAGAACTCAATAGCCTATTTGCACTAAGAGGTCATGTGACATCGTTTTTGTGAAAATGAACGTTATATGATTTTGCCTTCGAAAAACGATTAGTGGGTCATATCTTAAACAAAATAGTAGTGATTTGGTTTTTCAAACCCGCACCATTTTCTTAAAATGAGTAAGTTCGTAGCAGGTCACGTGACCAAATGTGATTTTTAAAATTCTGAATTACCTCTTTCTGAACACAAATTTTGCACTTAAACGTCAAGGAAAACGTTGAAAAGATGATGTGGTAACGTTTACAGCACATCTGAGCGTAACTATCAAACGTTTAACAAGATATAAGCAAAAAGTAGTTTTAGCCGCCATGTTGGAGGACAAGAGTATGCCCTCCAACATGGCGGCCAATTCAAATCATACTACTTTGTTGAAAATCAAAGTGCCATACTCCCTTAAATGTGTTTCCTCTCAAATTTCGGGTGTAAGATAATTTTTATGTGCTCTGACAATTTTTGGCATCAGCAAGATCCCAACTCATTGTTTAAAGGAAGCATTGGTCACGTGACCTGTTAGTGCAAGTGGCCTATTAGGCCCTACTTGTTTGTTTATTTTCATTTTTTTTTTTTTTTCAGCCATCTTGGTGTGACAGACAACCAAAAGCGATGGTTAGTTGCTGGAATAGCACTCAACAAGATTCTTGTGCCACAGATCCGACGATTTGTTGAACGAGAGGTTGAAAAGCAATACAACAATCTCAAGACGAGCCACAATATTGACACACAAAGTTCTTCTGGTCGTCTTAAGAGCTGGCATAAGTTTTTGAAGTATGAGAATATTAATAATAACAATCTTCATCCTAAGCTTCGTGGTGGAAAATGGGATTACTCTGTCTTTGATTGCAAAGTATTATCTCACGTTGACTTTGCGAAGTTGTACGTTGAAAACTACATGGCCAAGTTCAACGCTTTCGATGACCACTGTGATGCTTCAGCTGTACTGACATTGCTTGGGAGTGTTCCTGTGTTCTCAAGCTCTGTAAAGGTTGCTGCTGTTGATGTAAGAGTTGCTGTAAGAAATGACTGGGCGCACTGCGTGTTCAGTAAATGGGACCTCGCCAAGTTTCAGCAGGTCTTTGCTGAAATGGAGGATCTTGTAAGAACCTTGGGTCTACCAGCAGCAGATGAGGCAAACCTTCTGGGAGAATTAAAAGATTGGGAAACGAAAGGTAAGGGAACAGCCACATGAATTTTTACGAGAAAGCCAGCATCTTAAACTAAAACAGCATGACAGAGAGCCTTAGTAGTCGCTAATTTCTCTCTCTATTAGGGACCGGTCAATGAGGTGGTCAGCAAATTTTATGCATGGATGAAAGGGGGGATGTAAAAATTTACGAAGGTATAATGACAATTTTTCTCAAGACATTAATCAAGTATCATCAGATTAACAACCAATAAAATTTGTACAGAAAAAAATGTTTATTAATTCTTTTTAGTAACAATTTGAAACTCAGAATTGGTCAACATCCCCTCAACTTCCATCCGCCTCATCATACTGTCTGATCACTTTCATCTTACTCGTCATTTTAGCGTTTTCGTCCGGCTCATCATTTTCTTTGTCTTCACTATTACTGAGTACAGTATTTCCTGCCCCCTTCATCACTGCTTCCTACAAAGCTCTTTGATGTGGGAAACGGATTCGTTGGATAGCATGCTTAATGTTAGTTTTAAGCATGTCTGTGATCTCTTTCAACTATATATTCAGCAATGTCTCTCACTTTCTCCTCCACCTAAAAAACGGTTTTCCTATAATATCTTCATCCAGTTTTCTTGGTTACTTATGTCCTGGTTAAACCTTTCCAGACTTGGTAAAGTGAGAAAACGGATGCTTTTGTGCTTCTATGTCTATCTTCTTCTAGATACTTGACTTTATGCCTTTTATCACTTTTGTATTGTTGCTCAAGACTGAGGCTGTAAAGATTTGTATTCTTAACAGAATTATTTCCCTGCAGCAGCGGGATTACGAGGGTTCACAACACTTGCTTTCGTTTTCTTATTTTAATAGTCTTGTGACAAAAGATTTTGAATCATACTCACGTCTTCTCGTCATAAAAACCACGACCATTTCGACAGTGGGAATACCTGGACTTGTAAAATAATGGCCAAGGCTTGTAGTGTGGTTGCATTTGCGATCCAGCCGAACCTTTATTCTTCCCGTGGACGTTCATTAACGTCATTTATTAGATCGTGAATTGATATGTGATTACATATAGGTGGTTACTGGCGTTTGTGGTTTAAATGTGTCAAATGTCTTTTGTCAACAGCAAGTGGAAAGCACGCACACTTACAAGGGCGAAAGTAGCACCAGAGTTATTTGAAAATGGCCTTTTTTATACTAAGGCGGACGCACTATCCGTCTTACGAACTTGGGCAAACATTTTTTAGTTCGTTTGGTTATGCGTCTACTATAAAGACGGGCGGAAGACGCATTGTGCTTCCAGACGAACTACCTTTCGTAGTGCGTCCTTCAAGACGAATTTCGAAGGAAAGTTCGTCCAGACGCATAATTTGGCATAATGCGTCTTGTACCCTTACTATACTTGAGACGCATAACCCAGACGAACTACAAATGTTTCCCCAGGTTCGTCCAGACGGATAATGTGTCCTTAGTACAAAAACGGTCAAACCTGAAGAGGGGCTTACCTACAAGCAATGTTGTGCAAAGTCTGCGCGGTTACCTTGCATACATTAGCAATAACACTTGCGAATGTTACTCATTTTGATAAGTTTATGGCGGTGTGCTTGTATCCGGTGTGTAAATGTTACCAGGTAGAGAAAGTACTAAGTATAATTGTTACGTTGATAAGACACATGGGGGGACGCTGAGTAAAGAACCTCCAGCTTTTCATGTCATATGACTTCCTTTATTCTTGCAGCGCTATCATCTGAGCGGGTGGGTTTGGTGTATGCCTTAGTATTCACGAGTTCAAATCCTGGACTACGTATGTAAATCGCCAGCTGGTTTGCCTCAGGCCAGTTGGGATTCTTAACCCTGCTAAATTTCATTTGAATTAATTATTTGTTTCAGACATTATCTCGGCCCACTAGCACACTGCCGCGGGTAAACAAAGGCCATTATATATTTTTATTATTATATTAACTTAAAGTATTATTTTTGTTCCCTTGGATATAAAACTTGAATTTGCAGTCCATGACGAGTGGGATCATGGAATGATGAAAAAATTTTCAAATAGTCTAACATTAATTTTTCCGAACGTCTTGATTGACTCACCCTTTAAATTAATCTGCATATCGCCAACAACATAGTACTGAGACCGGCAGCCCCGTTGAAGGTAGCAAATGGCATACTACTGAAAATGAATTCACAGCATGCTACCATCTCAAGATCTTAGCGCTGCCTTCGACACTGTAGATCATGAGATCTTGATAAGGTGCAGTGCTTGTATACTAAATTTGGCGTACGCGGAAAGATCGTCAGCGGGGTGAAGTCCTACCTTACCGATCGGAGCCAACGCGTATCACTGAATAGTGCTACCTCCGGAAAGTTTAGCTTGAGTTTCCTGTATGGGGCCCTTACTCTTTGTCGTCTAAAGCTTCCAAGTTGTTCGATATTATTGAGTCACATTTACCATTTAAGTTCCGTGTTTTGCTGATGACTCACAGTTATATTTACCATTTAAACCTGAGCTGCATGCCAAAACACAATACGAAGCCGTTGCAGCTGTAGAGAATTTTGTACATGATCTTAGAACATGGATGCTTCAAGACAGGTTGATGATAAATGATGACAAGATCGACTGAGTTTATAATCATTGGTTCCAAGCAACGGCTTTCCAAGCTCAACGAGTGTTCAATACGGATCGGCAGCAATGATGTTCAATTCCCTGTTAAAACAGTGAGAAACCTAGTAGGCTCCTAGTTTGACTCGAACTTGTCAATGTCAACGCATATTAACAAGTTGTGCAGTACCGCCTTCTTTTATCTTCATAATATCCAAGGTATCAGGAAGTATTTTGACCAGAAAAGTGTCCTAACGTTATTGCTTGCTTTTATTACAAGCCGACTGGATTATTGTAACAGTCTACTGTACGGACTTCCAAACAATGAGATCTCCAAGTTGCAAAGAGTCAACAACGCTGCAGCTACAACTGTTACCTTTTCATCTAAGTTCAGCCATGTTACCCCCGTACTTTGTGAACTTCACTGGCTGCCAGTGAGATTTCGTATTTCTTTTAAGATGCTTTTAATCGTTTTTAAATCTTTGCTTGGTCAGACACCCCAGTATATCAGTAATTTAATTTCAGTAAGGAATCGATCTGCCTATCAGATGTGATCAAATGATGGATTACTACTAGATTTCCCTCGTGGGAAGATGTTGACATCTTTCGGAGACAGATCTTATCCTGTTGCTGCTCCCACATTGTGGAATGCCTTGCCCACCTCGTTAAGGAAATAAAAAACAGATCAACTGTTTAAATCCTTACTCAAAACATATCTTTTTAAACTACCTTTTAATTCTTAGTATTTTTAATTTTATTTTCTTTAGGAATTTTATTAGATTTTTTAGAATTCATGTTGTAATGCGCCTTTGATTATTGCATGTTAAAAGGCGAAATATAAGTGATTAATTATTATTATTGACTTAACTTTTTTAAAAAGGGATTTCCCCCTCTCATCAATTTTGGCTTTCATTGTTTTAAAGGAACTTCCCTGTGTATGAACTCACCCGTAGATCAACATTTGCTTCAGCTGGTTCAACAGGACGTGAAATTACTTGAGAATGCTGTGAAGCATATGTCTGTAGAATCAGATGAGGAAATGACGAAAGTCCTTGATGAGCTTCAAAAGTGTTGGACCTCTTTGGAGGACATGAAGAACAGAGTAACACTGATTGAAAACAGCTTTTATGGTTTTGAAAACAGAGTTGGTTGTTTTGAAAACAGAGTTCATGGTTTTGAAAACAGAGTTGTTGGTGTTGAACACAAGACTGCTCATATTGTGCATATTTTATGTGCCGTAATAATGATGCTCGTCGTTACAGCAACAAGAGAAACTAGTTCCACTGAAAATAATTTCGAGGATGTCCATAGTGGAGTTGGTAGGGTGGAAAGCGGATTGAATGGATTTAACAGCGGTGTCGTTAATCTGAAAGGTAGGGATCAAATTAACGTCTTTTTAATACTGAAAATGTATCCAAGTTAAAGTTTCTGTTGGTCGAGTAATATGAACATAGCATATACCTACGCTTTCAATAGATGTCTTCTCAAATTTCGATTCAAGTAATAAAAAGAGAATTTTCACCAAGTCCTCTTTTTAGGACTGGTTTCGGCCATTTAGCATAGGAATGGCTAAAAATGGGTTTCGCAAAAATATGGGCATAAAGCCGCTTTTTTGTTTTTCTCGCTCTATTTTTTCCCTTTGCCTTTCCTTTTTTTTTATCCAGTTTTGACGCTCGCTTAACCGTCTTTCTTTCGTGTGGCACTGCGCAAAGGGGGAAAAGGGGCAAATTTAGTCTGCAAAGAGTAGTAAGTCATTATAGCGAAATAGGCAGTGAATTTTTTACCAAAATGATACTTGGTTTTGTGGGTGTAACTCTTTTAGGATTGGTCAGAATTTCCAAAACGAGGTATCTGTGGAAAGACCTATCTTTGCTGACGTTTCTGTTTATCGTTTTAATAGCTAAAATTGAAAACTAAATGGGTCCAGGTGCCACCTTTCACTGGTAACTTGCAATCTTATTAACATTTTGGTTTTGCTCCGCGTACTTTGGAAATAACTAGGTAGATAAATAAATTAACCAAAGGTGGCTCGACCCAGTACTTTAATTTGTAATTACACCTTCCATCTTTGAATCTCATATACTTAAACAATTTAATCTTTATTGTAAAAACATTATAACACATGTATTACACATAGACTTAACTTTATTATATTATTTTTTTGCGCGATCTGAATAAATATCACGTGACAATGACGACACAACAGTTTTAGCTCGAAATCGAATTTATGCCCTGTTCGGCATTTTCTTTAGAAATGCTTTTCGCTACGTACACTTTGGACCGGATTGTCTTCTGTAGTGTGAAGTTTCACAAAAATCGATTGGAGGAATTTCGAGATATCTTTGAATTTCTACAAAAAGGGTATAAATTATGCATGAACTGAAGGCTGGACTTAATGCAGACAAATTTGCTACCTTTCGGAGGTTTCCGAAACGTTTCTATCACTTATTTGTTTTGTAGATGACCTTAATATGCACTCCATAACCGGCTGAACGCAAATTCCCATTCTCAGGCGAGAATTTACCGTCTGAAATCTTTCCGAAATATGGTATTGTTGTAAAAAGGAAGAAAACAATTACAGTAAATAGATTACGGATGGCAACAAAGCAGGGTAAATTCTCTCTTCTGCATGAGTATTTGATGTTGTGATAAACTCGAGACAATAGGAAATCCCAGAGCAAAAACTTAGCCAGATCTGTGACAATTTTGCGCCTACGTTAGACAACGACGAATTTTGGTTAATCGCTGTTTTCGTGAATCGAAATTACAAGAAGAGCTCAACATTGCGTTTGACTAATGAGTAAAGCAATCTTTAATGAGGAATGCCAACGTCACAAAAAGTGGTTTACAGTTAGGTCCTCAAAGGAAAACTCGGTAAAGACTAAAAAGTAGTAAGACTATGACAAAATTAAAAAAATTAATAAAATAAAAAATAAATAATTATATACAAATAGATATATTTGATTGAGTACATATAGATGTACATATACATATTACAAAATTGCTTTAGACAGGCCACATTTAAATGAAGACAGTGTCTCTGCTTCCCTCAAGGAAATGTCTAAACGGTTCCAAATATTAGAACTAAAATAAACTGACGACCAGTGACCCCAGCGTCTTATGGCACTGGATTTGCGAATGTCATTTCTTGATCGTGCATAACAATCATGGACATCACCATTGAATGAAACTGGGATCGAGCAGCAAAAATTATTATTTTAATAAGTAATTTGTACATAAAAATAGCTTGATTTTCCATTCTACGCAGTAATTAAGGCTTCCAGCCAAGCCTCGGATGCAGAAGAATGCGCAGGAAGATCGACAATGAGGCGGGCTGCTTGATTTTGCAAAAGTTGTAAATCAGACATCAAGGAGGAATTTCCCCTATCACCCCAAATGATATCCCCATAGTCAAAAAGAGGTACTTGCATGTTAAGACTATTTAAAAAGGTAATTCTAGCGTTGAAGGGGAGGCAAAATTTAATACGCCTTAAAAGACCTAACTTTTTGCTGATCTTTCCACAAATATGATCAATGTGGTAATTCCAGGTGAACTGGTTTTTGATTACAATACCCAAGTACGTATAAGAGTCTACTTTATCGAGAGGGACATCATCAGTAGAAATATGGATGGACTCTAATTTATTTAGGCGGGAACTTCTTCCAATAAGTAAAAAATTAGATTTCTTGACATTCAGAGTGAGTTGGTTAGCCAGAGACTATTTGCATATACGCCCCCAAGTCAGCATTAATGTTGCATTGTAAGTCCGCGGCAGATTTAGAGGCAAGGTATAGAACAGTATCATCTGCGTATATAGTGACTTGGCAGAACTGCAAAACATCTGGTAAATCATTCATGTAAATTATCAATAATAATGGGCCTAATATAGAGCCTTGCACAACAGCAATCGAAACAGGCGCAATTTCAGAGCATACCGTCATTGTAGTTGGTCACTTGTTTTCTATTCGTTAAAAATGAGGTAAACCAGGCTCTGGCAGTATCATCAACAGCAAGACTTGAAAGCTTCTGAGGCAATATTGTATGATTGAAAGTGTTAAACGCTTTAGCGTGTGACATAGATGCTCATATGCATACACCTTCATTAAGCAGTTTTATGTCCTATCTAGATCATTTGTGTCAATTTTAAATCAGGTGTAACTCGTGAGTGACAAGTATGCACTTTAATTAGGTTAGCTTTGGGCCGTATTTAAATTTTACCTCTTAATTTTTAGTATCTTTAGTATTGGAGAATTTTCTTTGTATGGGAATTTAGTTTCCCCCAATTATTCACCAGTCATACCCTTTTTGTATATTCTGTAATTTATTTACATGACAAAGTATTATTAAACTTAAACTTAAACTTAAGAACACAGCACCAGTCAGGCAACCAGTGTCCAAGGAGTAAAGGATTTGATCAGAAAGCTGAGAAGCGGCAGTAACAGTAAATGATTTCACTCTAAATCCAAACTGGTTCGGTGAAATTAAATTATTCTCAGTTAGGTAGCCATACAGCTGAGTATGAACCGCCTTCTCTAGGAGTTTGCTCAAGGTCGGCAAAATGGAGATTGGACTGTAATTAGAAGTAGCCTGTTAACAGGCCTTTGGTCGAGCGGGGAACTAGAGAGAGCCTGTTCACAGGCTAAATTAGAAGCATCCTTTTTATCGCCCTTTTTGAACAAGGGTAAAACCTTCGCTGTTGTTTTCCATATAATATAAAAGGAAAAGATCTTGTTTGAAGAGATAAATTAAACAGAGCTGTCAAAGAAAGAGTAATAACATCTACAGCATCTTTTAGGAGACGTGCTCTGATTTTATCAAGACAACCGCCTTATTAGTTCTTAATAGATTGATAGATCTTCAACAAAATCTTCACTAATCGGTTGTAATGAAAAGGTAGAATGACAGTTCCTAGTTTTAGCTGTATACGGCTCAGGAACAAACTTTTTCGCCAGGGATTTCCCCACGTTCACAAAGAAAGTATTAAAAGCCGAGGCAATAGAATGGGCTGAGGTGAGGAGGGTGCCATCAGCTAGCAGACTTGTAATTCTAGAGGACGTTTTAGCAGAGGGAAGAGTTTGTTGAAAGCTCTCCAAAAGTCTTTTTAGCGCCTGATTTACTACTGTCTGTTATTACGTTAGTGTACAGGGGCGTACCTGACTGTAAGCCAGTTAAGCACGGGCCTAAAAGATTTTTCTGGGACTTCTTTTCTTCGAACGGCCAAATTTAAAATTATTCATATTCCAAAAATGTTTGCCGGAAGAGTCATTGATGGTATGAAGCTCCTCACGACAGAGCCCTGCCGCACTCCTACACTGTACTTCTACATTCAGAGTCTAGACAGGCGTCACAAAACAGTGCAGGGGGAATAATCAAGCAACGTATACCACAAGCAATATACGTTCATTGCCGTAAGGCGAACTCTGTGAACTTGGCCTTCGGCCACGAATGCGAGCAGTTCCTCATTAGAAATATTTTGAGTACGTTGCAGCGGATTGCCTTCTCGTTTGACTATTCTTCGAAACGCCTTCTGGCATTTCAGGAATGCTTTGCTTATAATGATGGTGTCAGAGAGGAAATTCAAAGAAGAACGAAGCTATGCACGTTGTGCGACACTCGTTGGGCGAGCAGGGCAGATATCTCTGTTCACCTTTCGTACAGCATTCAGGGTTGTCGTGCAGGTTTTGGAGAGCCTTCCTTCGGGTGGAGACTGCAAGGCAAGGATTTACCTATGATCAATAAGACATTTTGACTTTATAATTTGCCTCTGTGCAACAGAGCATGGCAGTCTGTCTCAGACAGTTGCCCTGTCAAACTGTCGGGAACCTCCGCAAGGTAGCAAATGTGTCTACATTAAGTCCAGCCTTCAGTACATGCATAATTCATACCCATTTTGTAGAAATTCAAAGTTACCTCGAAATTCTTCTTATAGATTTTTGTGAAACTTTGCACGTGACTGAAGACAAACACCCATAGTTTACGCAGCGTAAAGCATTTCCAAAGAAAATGCCGATAAGGGCAGAAATTCGATTTAGAGCTAAAACAATTGTGACGTCTTTGTCACGTGATATTTATTCCGATCGCGCAAAAAATAATATCATAATAAAGTTTAGTCTATGTGTAACACATGTGTTATAATGTTTTTACAACAAATGGGCCAACAATTTGTTTTGGTATAACAGATTGGCTCGAGCCACCTTGAGTCTTGGCGGCTTACAAGGTTTGATAAATTAAATAGGATTACTATCAACAAACAGAAAGTTCGGCTGCGCCCGACTGAAATAAGGCGACCTACCTTTTATCACATTTCAACTTTTAGCTACCAGCGACAAGAGTTTTCCGCAATAAATGAAACTTCCAACACGGAGCTCACAAACCCACCTCTACACAGACATCTTACCCGACCCTGTCCCCCCTCCAGAAAGGAAAATATGCATCGCCCGCATGGAACAAAAACGACCAAAGCGTCCGTCAAAGGGTTAAACGTTTTTCTTTACCCCACGCTCGTGACGTGGCGATTGTGACATCTTTGACCTCTGTGTTAAGCCCGGTTGATACCTGTGATCTTAATGTACATAGTACATGTACTCATAGTTCTCATATGAACCTGAGCCTTGAAATGGGACTATTAAAGGCTATATATCTTTCTGAACTTCCTCTTAACTTTGTAGCCCCGTCAATAGCACCAGTTCAACCGGAAAAGGAGAAAATGCAGAAGTTGGAGGACGTGTTACGAAAAAAAAGTAAAGAATTATCAACGCGTACAAATTCAGGTAAGTCTTCCTTTAGGAATAAATTATTGGTGTCAAAATGACTTTTCAGGCCAATTGCAAAACTGGAAAACATCACGTTACCTTTTAACTAACTAACTGTTTGTAGTTTTTCGGGGACCAAATACCCATATGTTGGAACAAATTCGCAACACGTTGTCTCCCTCAAGCTGCAAGGGAAAAAATTTGTCATGAACGTTAAGTTTTGCAAAACGTAGTTTCTCGTCAAAATTATGAGATACCAACGATCCTTGCAATGAATTTTATCAACACATGTCAATAAGGAAAAACAAAAGAATGAATAATAACCGTAATAATAATATCAATAATAATAAGTGGCTTAAACCTTGACCTTTGATATCGCCTTAACCTTTGCAATGTTCAAATCGAGCCAATTCTGGAGAGCAACCGGAGAGCAGTCCAATTGTAAGTTCGTATATAGAGAAATTTGACAAACTCGCCACCATAAGTGGCGAGTTTGTCAATTCCCGGGAACAAAACTGTCATTAGATCACTGTATTAGTAAATAGAACCACAGGACGGTTAGAGCAGTTGGAAAAGTGCCGGGCTGCTCTGTGGGAGGTCGTGAGTTCAAATTTCCTCCTGACCACCAACCTGGGTCTCCACTCAGATGATTGCGTCATTATCCTTATCTCCTTCGTCCTCATACAGGGAGGGAAACTAGATGAACTCCCAACATTGTTCGAAAAGAGTAGGCTCTATCTGTCTTCTGCTGTCATTAATCTGGGTATAAAAAAGCTGGTGAGATCACGGACTGCGTCCTAAAGCTACTAACAGTAAAGTGTACCTTTCCCAGGCTAACGTCAGTCTGATCATGTCTCACCTCTCTGATCTATCCGTGATTCACTGGCTCCAAGAGCCGAAAATAGGTACCGTTCTTTATCATCATTGTCAAGAGCCCATCAAATGTCATTGTAGTAAGCAGCCTCTTGTCCCCCTCCAGAGGGTGGCTGCTTGTAAGAGGTTCGACTGTATTTACAGTAGGTATGAAACGCATTCCTTAAAGGGACACAGTCAGCTATTGGACCGCGCTGACCTGGACACTACTTTTGCCAGTTTATCAAATGTACGCGTAGGATACATCTAGAAATCCGCCTCAATCTTTCCTAGTGTTTCATTTGCTCCTCGATCTTTTACAGAAAACCTCTTTTTGAGCAAACTTTACTCATGCTATGACAATATTTTATCATATTTGGTTAAAAACAGTATCCAAAGGAACATGAACAGAAGAGGTGAGAAACGCGTAGGCCCCGGGGTGGAGAGATCGCCTTCGTTTACAAAAATGACAAGATAAAATAAATGAATAACATTGGCGAGCATCATCAGAGACTCAAGACCCAAATTAAGAGAGAGTCTCCCTAAAACCGGTCCACTGCGTTTCGCGTCGGAAAATCAATTTCCTTTAAACTTTGCCCATGAATATATATTGGTCCAAAAGTAATTGAAACGGCATTAGTTTTTGGAAATATTTCAAAATAAGATTTTTCGGGACGAAAATCACTTCAGCGCTCGGCGGCCAATTTTTTGCAGTGGAGAAGAGTAAAAATAGAGCATATTGCCGAGTTTACCACTTCAAAGTTTTTCACCTTCAATGATTTTTTTCACTTCCCAGGTTTAAATTGGTCCTTAAAAGATGTAAAGCACACAATTTTGAACCTTCAAAAGCAACTCATATTTAATAAATATTTTTCGATTCACACCCACTTTGCCGTAGGTGGGAAAGGGCTCAAAAATGCATACTTTTATCCTGGCACTGAGCAAAATCCCCACTTCTTCTTAACGAAATATCAATTTAGACCAATGAAATGAATGTTCAAAAACAGGGAAACATAAAAACATATTGTGATTTCAGCGATTTATGAGCACAGCCGATAGACGAAATATGCCTATTTTCTGTTATGACTGTTTACAATACACGAAAGGCGACCTTATTGCAAAGCCTCACTAACACAATTATTCATTACATGTATCAAGTTTTTGCGACTTTTAACACAATAAAACAGCATAGTTATGGAAAGAAAACCTTCAAGCCGTCGATATTTCGGCGCTCCATCCAATCAAGTATAAAATGTTCGAAAGGTCACATTTTCGTTAGTTAAATAATTTATGCAATATTCCTTTCCCTTGTATCGGTCGATGTGAACGCATTGTTATTCTGGAAATTCAGCAAAGGGAAAAGATTAATTTAGTTCATAAAAGTAACCAGGGTGGATAGAATAGTCCATTAACTTAGAAACGGCAACTGCATTGGAAGAGAGGATCATAGATCCAAATCCGTTTTCAGTTGTTTACACATGAACTCAGACATGAACTGATACCAACATGTATGACGCTGGTCACGCAATCTTATTGGAGAATAAGGAACTGGTTCGCTGCGAAAATATATATACCCGTCATAATAAAATTACCTCATTCATACAGTACTTTTCTTTTATTTTCACTGACAGGCTACAAAATCAAGTATATCATGCAAATGTGTTTACAGTAAGAGAAACTCATTCCACACTAAGTCTTCCACGGCGGGCAGTCTCCTGTCCATTCCGATCACTTACAAACAATCAGTTGTCGTTATACGTTTTTAATTTGTTTTGTTTTGTTTTTTTTTCTTTTGACAGTTCTGGTTGCCTGGTATTAGATACGCGTGTACCTGAGTGCGATCATACTCCTCGTTTCGTCTCAGGGAGGGGTTAGGGGTGGGGTGAGCTTGTTGAAACACTGTATCTTTGAAATTTGATTTCTCTGCCGGACTGGTGGTATATCTTACTGGACAAAAGCTCTATTTTTTGGTTCGTTTTTGACTTAAAAACACCTTCTACACTAATCACTGATAATGTTTAGCGTCACACGTCCTAATGTACATGTGTAGCTGATGATCTTCCTGGACAGCAGCGAATTCACAACGAGCCCGCAGAAGGGAAATGGGGAGAGGCAGGGTGCAAGGGGCTCTTGGAAGGGGTATAGTCGGTACCCATCCTCTCGTGGTTTGACCGACAATGCGGTATTTCTTACCGGCAGTACTTGAACGAATCCGTTGACTAATCAGGGTGCGTTTCTCTACTAAATCCGGAGTATTAATCTGAAAAAAGGACATTTCATTTCTCTGCTAAAATACAAAAATGGATTATTGATCCGAATAATCCACAATGGCCTGGAGGATTCCTTGGATCATAACCAAATCCGGATACTTTGGATACATGATCAGAAGCGCTTTTTTACGTCTATGGATCCGAAATGAGCGAACATTGCCCGGCTGGCAGCGGTGACTCGAAACATTTTCAATACATACATCAGCTGTTTGACTACACCGCTCATCTTTACGGCCATTTTATACCCGAGGCGTGGATTAAGCGATAGGCTTGGTCCGTTTTATCAAGATGGTAAAATTGTAATACAAACAGGACCCGCATTGCTCTAGTTCACAAGGACAAAATTGCTACACAACGTCGCCGGCACGTCTTGCAAGCCAGAATGTACTTTTCCAGCACATATCATTTGGCCCGTCTCAAGAGATA